GTGTGTGTGTGTGTGTGTGTGTGTGTGTGTGTGTGTGTGTGTGTGTGTGTGTATGTGTAAAGATGTCACTTTTGAACACTTAGTTGTCAGGTATGTTAATTTACAAGAATGCTCTTACAAATATTTGAGCTAGGATTTGAAGTTTAACTCTCCTTCATTATTTTTAAGTATCGGGGAGAACCAAAAAAAATTCATATCCAAGGCCTTGACAATGAAGCCCACGTTCAGTTCTGTCTTGAGTCAGTGGGAGCCAGTATACCCAAATTGCAGGTTTGGGGGGGCATTTAAACCTGTGGCATTTGTCGGCAGGCTAAATATCTCAAGTATATTTATGTTTTTAATATCAGCGTGGCTCATAAGACTTCCTGAATTGGGAGTACAGTGACTGACCTTTAAGGGCATCTATAGCTAATTTAGTTTAAAGGCTGCCTCTCTTTCTGTCCTGCATTCAGTGCTGGTCCAACTCTGGTTACTGAGGTTGCTACTAAAAGAGAGGTGGAACAGCTCCATTTAGGTATGTTAGGGATCTTACCGGTGGGATTTTTGAAAGATAATTGGAGAGTGTTGTTCCTGCTGTGGAATTTGAGAGATGAGTTTTAAACCGTATTTTTTAGAAAAATTAAAAACCTGGAGAGCATCTAATTTTGTTCTAAATTCTTGTGAGTTTTCAAAGAAAATTTAATTTAACTCTGTTAAATATCAGTAGGATTGTATTGGGTACATCCCTGCTAAGCTGTACGGGGTTTTTCTGTAAGAAATGCCAGGTAATTGCCTGTGAATGGATCGTTCAAGATTTGTGTAGTCTAGTGCACTTCAGCGACCTAAACTTGGAGAAGTCTAGGGAGAGTGGAGAGAAGTTCAGATCTTCTCCTCTGGAAGGGATGTTCAGTACAATGCGACCGTGTTGATTTAGGTACGGCATTGTTCAGACAAATACATCTCAGAAGAGTGTACAACTGATGAGCCAGTATCTGGCCAGTGCAAATCAAAAACCAAATACTTCCCCCAGGTATGGAGCTGCAAGTCCTTTTCTCTCAGCAGGAGCTATGCATCATCTCTGAGGCCAAAATTCAGCACAGGATGCATAGATGATGAGACATCATGCAGGTTGCATCCATGGATATCAATACCAGGTAGAAGGAGGACACAAGGATCGAGTTCCCTTTGGCAGAGCACATTTTGATTGGTATTTTTACAGGGGTTGGGAGTTAAAAGGATGAAGCCAGGGAGAGAACATGACGTTTGGAAAGATGCAGTCCTTAAAACAGTCCTATACGTTGATGCAAGTCTTACATAACACTAGAGTACTAGATTTACATCAATGTAAGCAGAAACTGAATTGGGCCCAATAGGTGTAAGCTGCTGTGACATATTGGGACAGTTTTTAACAGGCTATAATGCCAGTCCCACCGCTGAAAGAATATAATTGAGTTCAATTAAGTACAGTGTTCAGAGCTCATATCAGATGTTTCCTGAAGTAGCATGTCAGCTGCATGTGATTATGAAACTATTATTCACATATGGCTGTCATCCCATGGCTTCAAACTATGAAAGACCAGTACCAACAACGTCTGTAACGCACACCCTTCTTATCCTAACATTTAAAACCCATGGCTTCAAGGGGATAGTTCTGTAATGATGGGATATTATGTGCTCAGGTGGTCTTTTGATGACAGGTGGTCTCCAACAACAGATGGTCTCAAAGGGGGAACTTAAGTTAAAAACATTTGCAGGTTTCTTTAAAAATATATATATATTATGAAATGTTATCCTTGCGTAATGTTCTTAAGCATTTTCAACAGAATGGCCAAGTTATTAACACTGACAGATGATAAATCAGGGGATGGTTTAAAAGGGGGGCGATGGTGATTATGTGGTCTTGGTGCTTGCTTTGATCAGAAGTGACAGGCCCGTAAGGTCCGTGGCATTCAGTACCCCCTGGAGGGAGATCAGCACCTGTTTGCACTTTGAGGCTCTTCTACCTCCCACTGCCTTCCAGCACTATTTCATCTTTCTTATAACACACTTGGAGGTGATTGGCTTTAAGCAAAGTCATTATTCATTTACAAAATACTCCTTTATGCAACTCACCCCAAACCGGGCTGCAGTACCAGTGTTTTTGCTCTTGTAATTAAGGCAATATCCTTGCACCCATTATTACTAACGCTTTATTTTTCAATGAACTCCAGGATGAAATCAGACTGAATACCAATCTAAGCATGTTTTTTTTTTCCTCTTGAACAACTTGGAGCCTGCTAGACTGTTCACCTTGAATGCTGCTGAGTTTTTTTGCTTTTATTTAATTTTTGTTGCTTCACACTTGAGTAGGAGAGACATGGGATAAGGTTTGTGGAACAGACAGGCCGTGGCTTCGGCATTTCAGATGTTATTGTAATAAAACTTATTTCAAACTATTCTCTTTCCTCCTTTTCTGCTGTAATGGATATCTTTAGGAAATGGCACATAATAAAGCTTTAATTCTGCCAAGGGACCTTCACGATAAAAATAAATCACAAGAACGAGGCTCTTGTGGTTTGTTAATGTTGTATATGCTGAACCTTAGCGTGGAATTACAGACTTCTGTGCAGTTATACAGAGAAATCAGTGGTGTCACTTTGGATTAAGCTGATGTGCCGGAGATCAGAATTTGACCCAGGCGTGCAGTTTTTGGGGCCTTGTTTTGCCTTCCTTACACAACCAAAAGTGCAGCTGTTGAGAGTTCTGCATGCACATCAAAGGCAAGGTTGAGTTTTCATGTAGCATATCTGTTGAAAGAAAAGTGCTTTGCAATTCATTTCTTCTTTCCACTCCCCCATTAATACAACCTGTTAAAAAGTCAAGGGGTCTCCCAGTAAAGTCTGTCACCTCAGTGGGTCTAGGTGAGGTTTCATCTCTCCTTTAGACCTCTGTCACAGAAAATTCACACTCTTGCCATTTATTTTGACTCCAAATCAGATTGAAACACTGGCTTTCAAAAATTGCTGTGAAACGACATTTAAAAAAAGACCATTTGGGATGAATCAAAATACTTTCAGCTACAACTTTTAACAAACGTTCAGCCGTGCTAGAATTCATAAAGCAATATAAAATAAGCTTAAAACCAAAAGTCATTTCAAAATGAAAGATCAAAACGTTGCATGTCGAAACAGGAGAGGAACTTTACTGAAATGCTCTACTTATTTATTTTTTTAAATATATCTATTTTTTTCCAAACTGACATTCCTGCAGAATGCCCCTGTATCAACAAGCCGGTGTTTCCTGGCAGTAAAACGTTCCACTGAAAAGTTTGCAATCAGTGGTAATATTTGTTCAGAAAGCACAGACTCCCCGTCTTCTCCGGGACTAATACGGCAGCGCCACTGGGAACAGAGGATGCATAACAACATGCAGAGTGAAGTCCAGAGTGCCCTCTTCGTTTTTTCCTATCTAGCTCATCTTCCTTCGCTAATCTGCAACACTTCCCTTTTCCCTTTCTTCCACTGCTGATTGGTCTTGCTTCAACTGCACCTACTGCTCTCTTCCCACCTTCCCCACCCAAGTCTCATCTGCCCACATGGATGCTGGCTACTAACTATAGCAGTTTTGCACATTTTTTTCGTTAAAGGTACATCGAAAACTTTTACAAAATGTGTGTTTTGTGGGGTGGGGGGAGGGGGTTTAGTGGGCTGGGAAATATAGGTCCCAATTTCGGAGCTGCCCAGGGTGTTGATAAGCACAGGAGAACATCAGGACTGAACTGCAGAGGGTTAACCGAGAAGGATTCTTTCTTACAGAGAAGCAAGATTTGGTTTCACTTTGTTTGGATGTTACCTTATTCCCTTATGGGGGGGGGAAGGGGGGGTTGACCCCCGTCCATGCGAATTCATAATAGGAGTGCTGCTGTATCAGTGTTGGAGATCGGGTTCTCTTTCAACCAGTTGCAGAAATTGAATCCTTGAGCCCCTAGAATTGTTTGATAAAACGGTAAAGCAAGATGTTGAAATTTTGGACCTGTGACGCTGATTCGACTCTCCTCTACACTTATCTGCTTTTTCATCTATTTATTTTTTTAGCGTATCTAGTTAATTTTGTTTCAAATGGATTTTGCACTGTGGATGAAATGTTGGTTGAACTGTGAATTCACACTGGGGAAAAATAGGCAAAACTCCATTGAATTCTTTTCCAGTTCTTTTTTGCTCGAACTATTTCCCTTGAATATTGTCCTGCTTCAGAAAAGATGGAGAATTATTTTATTCTCCATGTCCATTATTTATTTTCCATGTCCGTTATTTTAAACGTCCATATTTTTCAGTATTTCATTCCTTTTCTTCCTTGACTATTTCTAGTAGTTAGACAAGCCATTGCTGCTAGATTTATCTTCCCTTCCTCTGTGCCTGTCACTGATATACCATTTTAGTATTTGAAGACACTGTTGGCAACCTTTCCAAAAGTATTAACATTTCATGGAGGGTCCCTGGGTTTGGGCTTCTAGGAACGCATCAACATTTTTCTTCTATTAGAAGATTTTAGGAGCAGTTTAGAAAATTATGTAGTTAAAACAGTGCAACCTCCCTGCTCCCAGCACACAGTATACAGCTATCCTGTTCTTGATAGAATAAATATACGATCATATGGCTTAATGAGAAACAAGTACAACGTTGACCAGCCTAACTCATCTCTGAAACTTTCAGTCTGTGTCATAAAGTGGCTCAGAATATCTTGTATTTCATCTACAAAGGTGGCATTGGACTTTGTAGAGTGGGTTCATCTTTATTGGAGCTCTGCTTTCTTGGCTGCTTATTCCATTCCTGTTTTCTAGTAGGTTTTAAGATGCAAATTTGAGCCTGCTCTTGTCATGCTGGTGTGTGCATAGCTGCCAGTGAGGTGAATGCAGGTTTTATGTGCATAAATCCCAAAGGATTAGGCCCAACACTTAACTTTAAGCATGTGGGTAATCCCATTGGTTTCAGCAAAACAGCCCGCGCTCTTAATAAAGTTAGGTACATGCTTACGTACTTTGCTGATTCAGGGCCTTAAGCCTTTTATAAATGTACAATCCCAGGAAGGCTCCGCTCTCAAGACACTACAGCGAATTTATGTATGCATGTTAGCTTTCTGGGGAGAGGTTTTCAAAAATACCCAATGGGTTTAGAAGCTTGAGTCACACTTCCATTGGCCTTGCGCTCCTAAATCCTTTAGCTGCTTTTTAAAAACTCCTTGGGTGCTGGCTGTGGAGCTGACATGAAATACTAATACTACGCTTTACCACATTTTTGCATGCAGTTGCCGTAGCAGGAGCTGTATATTTGGGTAACAAGCCCCACCACTGAGTTCACTTTCTTGTTCACAGGCACAGCTCCCAAGTTAATTAAACTCTGCTCTCACTTTACAATGGTTATAAGGTTTCTTCTCATGAAAAGCTACTGTTATTTGAACCCGACTAGAATTAAAGAGGAGTAACCCGTTCAGATACAAGAGCAAAAGAAAAGCCCTGACCTGAAATTTCCCATAACTCAAAGTGAACTCAAGCGGACCATTTATGAAGTGTGTAAAACTTAGCATGACCTTTCCGCCATGTTATTTTACATCTCCACGTGCCCTGGTTATTCTGGCTTCCAGGTGGGATGGAAAGAGGTGGCATTCCTACATGTACTCTCCCTATTTCTGGCCTGATCCAAACTAAGAGGTATCCAAGAAGTTTAATCACTGGGTATGTTCCTGTGAAGTTTCCAGCAGGGGACTGGATAGTTCGGAGCATCTGAACTATAGTTTCATAGTTTCTAGGGTCGGAAGGGACCTG